TCACTTGTTTGTTTGCGTAGTCGTGTTTGTCTCTAATATATTTCTTGATTTTGAGGTGTTTGGTGTCCATTTCTATTTTTTCTATTTTGCTTTGAATAAGGATAGAGTTTTGTCTGTATACACGTGTATCCATAAATGGCATTAGTTTCTCTTTTAAGTCATTAATTTCTATGTCTAGTAGTGACAATTTTTTACTTTTTTTAGTGACTAGAGTTTCCATGAGTCCGAATGTGCATAGTTCAAGTTTACTGTACCACTCGTCCATGAATTCTAAGTCATCTTGATCTGAGGCAGGGAGTTTGAGCAATCTTAAGCCTCGGGGAGTGATTTGCTCTTCTATGTATTTTTTCATGGTGGCTATTTCCCATTTTAGTTTAATTTCAGATGTTAATGCTTTTTCTAATTTTATGAAAAGTTCTTGTTGGCTTAAGGTGTGGTGTCTGATGGGTACAGGGCTAATGGGTCTTGTAGGTTCAGAATCAAATACATTGTTAACATCAATAACATAATTATTCCTAAAGTCAAAGATGGACATAATTGAGGAGAACAAGCAGCTAAAGACGAGGGGAATAGATATAGATAAACACAAAAAGAATTTAGCGCTAGAAATCACAAAATTAGTCAAGGTAGGCAGCAACCCAAATGAAGGAAAACCCCTCGGGTCCTTCGGTGGATAGATACAAATAGATATGGAAGGGCTGCGCCAAATAAGGGTAGATAGTCCAGTAAAGTATTGCTAGGGTGCCAATAGATGGTCTAGGATACTTGATAGAGTTCCTCTGTGGATGCGTCTGGTGTAGACCGTTCCGTATATGTAAATACAAGAGAGGTAGAGGCGACTAATGGTATAGTATGAAAGTTCAGGGTGTGATAGGTAACAAAAAGTAAAGAACTCACATTCAGGAGAGCTATGGCCAGCTCTGGTGTGGATTGCGTACAGCGGTATAATCCCCGCTATAATTTAACAGCCAATACACCTTACCCTCCACGAACAAAAAAAAGAATTTTAAGCCCAGAGGTAAACGCAGCGGCGGAAGAGCACAAAAGAGAAAGGCTAGACAGACCGTAAACCCTTCAAACACTTCCTACAACGGTATTTTTAATCTGTCCAACAAAATCTTATCCGCCACCCAAATATCCGTCCTTAATAAAGGTATGAAATTTGCACCGACTAACCCTTTTAAATCTTTCGAAGCCTTTTTAGACATCAACAAATTTGTTCGCAAAGCTACACTAAAGAGATTTTTTAATGACAAATTACCCACCACAACCAATTCTCCACCCCCCATGCCTAGTATCAATAACCCCAATAACATCAACACTCATTTGAAAGAAAAATCCAAATTTTACCCTTCCTACTGCAAATCTGCACCCCTCATCATGTTCGAAAAACTTGTGTTAAAAGACTTTGAAAAAATTAAATATAACAAATATGACTCACACAACCTCACCCATGCCGAGCGCAACACACTGAAACAACTACAAGAAGACAAAGATATTGTCATAAAGCCGGCAGATAAAGGAGGTGGGATCGTTATCCTATCTAGCAAGATGTACATAGATGAGGCACATAGACAACTACATGATACAGAAACATATAACAAACTACCCTCTGACCCCACCCCTACCATCCAAATCACCCTATCCACTTTTTTACAAAAAGGCTTGGATTCTGGCATCCTAACCAAAAACGAATACAACTATCTTAACATCAAATACCCTAAACTCCCTGTCATATACTTTTTACCAAAGATACATAAAAATATTAATAACCCCCCTGGCAGACCCATCGTGTCAGGGATAAATTCCCTACTCTGCAATCTGTCAGAATACATTGACATACTCCTCCAACCATCCGTTAAATTAATGCGCTCTTACCTAAAAGACTCTATGTCACTACTACGTTTTTTAGACAAATTCAAATGGCAAACTAATTACATTTTAGCTACTTGTGATGTCCAATCCCTATACACTATTATACCCCACCATATAGGATGCCAGGCAATCAGAGAAATTTTAACTAAAGAAAACAGAATCCCCCCTGCCCAAATAGATTTTATTTTAGAAGGTATTAATATCATTTTAACCAACAACTATTTTTGTTTTTTTGTTTTTTGACTCCTTTTACCTACAAAAACAAGGCACTGCGATGGGTACAAGGTTCGCGCCAAGCTATGCCAACCTCTTTATGGCCGACTGGGAATCCACGGCCATATGGGGAAGGCACGCTTGGTGTACGAACCTTGTAACATATTTTAGATATATAGATGATTTGTTTTTTATCTGGGATGGCACAGAAGCTCTTTTTAACTCTTTTATCCACCACCTCAACATCAACAATAGAGGCATTACCCTAACCCATGAAACAAGTAAGGAATCTATTAATTTTTTAGACCTCAACATCTTCATTACAGACAACACCATCCACACCAAAACATTTTTTTAAAAAGTCTGCGTCAACACAGCTATTGAAAGATCTAGCTGCCATTACAAACCTTGGTTGGAAAGTGCCCCTCAAAGCCAATTCCTCCGTCTCAGAAGGAATTGCTCCCAAATAGAAGATTTTAACAAACAATCAAATTATCTAAAAGAAAAATTTATTGAGAAAAATTACTCACCAACCCGCCTCAACACCATTATAAATACCATCACCAAAAAAGATAGAGCAGACCTCCTAACTTACAATACCCAACCCACCACCAACACCATGCCCCTTCCTGTTATTTTCAATTTTAATAACAAAAGTGGCCATGTCAAAAAAATTATCAAAAAACATTGGCACCTCTTAAAAGAAGACGAAATACTTAAAAATATTATACCTGACAAGCCTAATGTTGTCTTTAGAGGTGCCCCAAACTTCAAATCCATTTTAACCACCAATTTTACAAAAGAAACCAAACCTACTTTTAATTCTTTTATGCCCAATGCCAGTGGCTTTTATAAATGTAAAAGATGCATTGTATGCAAAAACACAGACCCCTCCGTCCCTTCCAAAACCACCAGTTTTAAATCTAATATCACCAACAAAACCTATAAAATTAAAGATTTTATCAGTTGCGATACCAAAAATGTCATCTACTTGTTGGAGTGCCCTTGTGGTCTCCAGTATGTAGGGATGACCACAAGAAGTCTTAAAGTGAGACTGAGTGAACACTGTAGAAATATCAAAAAGGCTACCTGAATCACTCAGTCTCCAAACACTTTTGTACACATAACAACGACATAAGACACCTTAAATGCATCGGCATAAAAAAATGTATAATACCATGGAGAGGTGGTAACATTAAGAACATATTAGGTAAAGCTGAGATGGAATGGGTTTTTAATCTCAAAACTCTTACCCCATCTGGTTTAAATGTTGATTTTGACCTGTTTAATTTTATTTAAATTCCTATATACAACCCTTATCTACATGCTTTTATTCTTTATGTCTGGACCTAACCAACCCTCATAATAATAATAATCTTTTAAGTTTTATTTTTCATCTATGCCTTTCCATTTATGTATCTTGTATTCTGTGTAATCTTTTATTTAATTTTATTTTTATTTTATCTATTATTTTCATTCAACATCTGTATTATTACTCTGGGGTATAATATAACCCCTATTTAAATCATTATGTTTGGAATTATATTACCCCCTTTTCATGCATACTCCATTTACATATATCTCTGTATCTCTGTACCTTTAAACCATCTAAATAATTTAAATGGACTCATCACCTTTATAACATCACTCCCATACTCTTGAATCCTAATTTTGAAAAGTGATTTTAAAAATTGTCTCTGATTGGCCAATTACACTTTTGGCGCAATTTTCAAATTAACATAGCCCTATTTAAACAACCCCTGCCAGGTTACTACTTTTATCCCATTCTGAAGAAGCCACTTATGGTGAAACTCGTTTATGGTTATTAATTCTGTATTTTACTGTGTATTTTAGATCAATAAAAGTTTTTTGGCTACTTTATTGTACCAATCCTCTTTTTATTGCACTCTTTATGCACTTTAAACAACTTTTTGTTTTTACCTATTCCTGGCATTTTAACCTTTCCTGGTTACTTTTACTTCCATTGGCAATTTTAAAGTTCCAGTACTCCAAGAAATCCTAGGTGGGGATCATACCACCGGCGCCTATCCATAGAGCAGTACCTCTGCTCTATCTTTGTTAGTATTATTTTATTTTCTCTACTACTCTCTTAACCTATCACAATTGAGAGCACTATTGCTGCTTTTTATTCTTCTATATTGGAGCCTTGGATCACCAGGCGGTGCTGACGGACGTACCGCCGCTACATATCCTATAAGCGGGGATTATACCGCTGTACGCTATCCACACGAGAGCTGGCCATAGCTCCCTCAAATGTGAGTTTTTTACCTCTTCTTATCTGCACATTGAACCACATCAAAATTGAGAGCACTATTGTTGCTTTCTGTCTTTCTTTTCCGAGTTCTGGACTACCAGGCGGTGCTGCTGACGAGCCCACTCCTCATATCCCCGCAGGGGATTGCCGTATGCATAATCCACACCAGAGCTGGCCTTATGGCTCTCCTGAATGTGAGTTCTTTACTTTTTGTTACCTATCACCCTGAACTTTCATACTACTACCCGTAATTAGCCTCTACCTCTCTTGTATTTACATATAGAACGGGTCTACACCAGGCGCATCCACAGAGGAACTCTATCAAGTATCTAGACCATCTATTGGCACTAACAGCTGCTTTGCTGGACCGCTTATTTGCGGCAGCAACCTACACTCTATTTGGCAATATCCCACCCGGAAAGAACCGGGTTTTCCGCTTCATTTAGTTTGCTGCCTGCAGCGGCTAATTTTTGTGATTTTAGCACTGGAATTCTTTTGTGTTCAGCTATCAATTTTGTCGGTATAATATCCTGGACAATTCAATTTTGCTCTCTGTATAATACAGGGTTGTGTGTATAATAAATTGGGACACTCAGTGCTCCCTGTATAGTGCTGCTCTCTGTATAATACTGGTCTGTTTGTGTATAATATCCCAAGACAGAGAGCAGCACTATACAGGAAGCACTGACTATCCCGGGATATTTTATACACACAGATCTGTATTATACAGATAACTGAGCATATACCCCAATCTCTAGACTACTAGTACCTGTCAACAGCAGCTCCCAGACGCGTGTAACAGGGCTAAAGTGTGCGGCAGCTCACACAGATTATTCAGCGATAAAGTGCACTCGCTGGCAGAGCCAAACTGGGAATCCCTGGGAATCCAAAGCAGCCCTGGAAAAAAAACGTATGCCATTCCTACAAGTCAAAATATATATATATATATATATATACTACAGTAAGCACACAAGCTCACTGACATGCGCAAATAGGCTTACTGACAGACAAAACTCTCTGACTCACACACAAGCTTACTACAGACACTCACTTGTATAAACAGAAGGCTCACTTCAAAGAAGTTCAGGGACACACACACAAGCTCACTAAAGACAAGCTAACTGACACACACATGCTCACTAAATAGAAACTCACTGACACACACAAGCAGTACCATTTTAACAGAGTTAAGGGCCCCTGGGCAAAGCAATGCACTCGGGCCCTTCCTACACAA